GTACAATAGTACGTTTTTGTGCACTATTGATGCAGTCCATAGTGCAGCTTTCTGCAAAGACATGTTTTAACTTGTTGATTGGCCTGTCTGCTAAAGTGCATTTCAAGCGCACAAAGGATGGGTTTGTTTCTTTGCTTTTTCTGAGCAGTAGATTGTTCATGGTTTATGCTTTCTCTTTTTTGGATGGGCATTGCTGAGTTTTTAGGATATAAATGCAGGCACTGGGACAGGGAGTTTTGTATTTTCCATGTGGGACCTCTTTCCTGAAGAGTAGCACATCTTCACTGATTTTTATTTTTATTTTTTCTGATTTTCATTCTGTCAAGCAGAAGCTATAGCTCCCCCTCCTCTTTTTTCCCTTTTAGCATCAGTCACAGGAAAGACGCAAAAATTCCTAAACTTTGTCTCCTAAGCCCCCTGTATCTGCTGCCTCAACCTACAATTAAGTACGGAAGCAGCAGAAGATAGTCTAAATTGATGACTATTTACAAAGCATCCTATAGTAAAATAGGGAAAAGAGGGTGATTTTTAAAAACACCTCAAAAATTATCCCTTTTGGCATGGACTAACTAGAATTCATTTTCTGTCTAGCTTTTCTTCCTATCTTCAGACTCTGTGGTGATAACTGAAAGAATATGAAAGATTGTTTTGAATTTTTTAAATTAATAAGCACCTAATTTCCCTTTACATTCAAGCTGGCCTGAATGTCCACATCAGAACAACAAATCACTTGTCAAGTTTGTAATGGGAGTTCTTAGAAATGTTTTAAAATATTCTCTTTGTCTATTTTTTCTGCAAGTTATCTGGCTGTTAGCAGTAAGCATTAATTGCCACCCTATCTAGACTTATTACCCTGGGGTAAAAAAAAAAAAGAAGGAACAAGAGGCTTTTTCTGTGTTCCCATTACCTATAACTGGAAAATTCAAAACATTTTGAGTTTTCTTCTGAAGGAATTGTTTCCAGTTTTGTTGTGGTAAAATTTTACGTGTTCTCAGTGGTTTTGTTCCGGGTTCAAAACAAAATGCTCGCCATTTTGTGCACATCCTTAGAAATTCCCACTGAAGTCAGTACTATCCCAAACCAAGCTATTCGGCTTCTTTCAAGTTCCTACAGTATTCTCTTCTTTCATGACTATTTTTTTAATATTTTAATTTCCACATCAGTTTCTTAAATTTGATCCAACATGGCTACTTCAGATATGATAATCTACAGAAGTATCAAATGCAAACTCTTGCATTTGCTCAGAAGAATTTCAAACCATGGACCATTCTAACAGGGTGGACGGTTTGGGTGGTTATGAATGCTGCCATATATCATTTATACCTATGGCTAGCATAACAACTTTAGTTATGTTGTTTGGTCTCTTCTTTCCTTTTCTCAGTTAATTACATCCACTATCATCTCTCCTGGCCATAGGTGTTCAGGTAAATCCCATATATAAAATCTAGTTCAGACATAGCTATTGTTTCATATGATCTTCCATATTTTCCTTCAGAACATTCTTATATTTGACTGTATACATTTTTAATTCTTCAGATTCCTTCCTGGATTATGATTTGCCAGTTTGTCCTCCCCCCCCTGCTTTTTCCCCTTTTTTATTTGGACAAGTTTCCTATCCCCGGCAACATTTCAGATGTACATTTTAAAAGCACTGACCAGTGAATGTATAATATTACTTTCCTTGTCTGCCATTTGTTATATGTATATTCTGCAATATAAATGGGG